TCCTGTATTTGCATGAAGAGTGTAGAACCCAAATCATCCATTGTGAAAATATACTTTTGATGATTGTTTTACACCAAGATTTCCGACTTTGGATTGGCAAAGCTTCTGATGAATAACTAGAGTCGAACTCATACAGTTATTAGGGAAACCAAAAGGTATGTTGCACCCAAGTGGTTCAGGAGACTAACAAATTAGGTAGAAGTGTTGGTTGTATGCATAGCAGATTCTACCAAGGCAGAAGTGTTGACTGCACTTACAAGGATCAGAATAATTAACAGATTAGGTATTCAGAACCTCTCCATTGAAGGCGATTCAGCAAACACTATAAAATGGTTAGGAAAACAAGAGACCAGACCGTGGAGACTTGGACACTTTCTAACGAAGGCAAGGGATTTACTAACAGCTTCTAATGCAAACCTGATTTGGATTCCAAGGGAATTTAATGCTCTTGTAGATGGACTAGAAAAATTAGGTGCTCTGTTAGAAGATTTATACTCTGAAGTGTTTCCTCCTGTATAATTCCTACAAATTTGATCCCTGTTTTTGTTTTTCTTTTCTTTATATGTGTACACCTTCTTATGTACCCTTCTCTTTTCTTAATGAATTCAATTACCTTACTCTCAAAAAAAAAGGAGTATGGCAATCACTACGAAGGTTGATATATATTGCTTTGAGGTCTTGTTGCCAGAGACCATCTATTCTAGGAAGAACATTCCAACAGAAACTGACGAAAATGACAACGGAGAAATTCTTACAGATTTGGCTTATAACTGCTGCTGTCAAAGCAGGTTAGATATCTACTGGAGAGATTTTTAAGGGTTGCATTTTAGCGCATTCAAGAAGAGCCATCACTAAGACTGACGATGAGGAAGGTCACGCAGATGCTAGGAATTATTGGAGTTCCAGTGCTTACATGCCCTTCTCCCTTTCACTCGGTTTTTGAAAGCTAAAGTGGTCCTCTGTTTCTGTGACCAAAATAGCCATTTTTTATCGAAATCTAAATTTGTTTCTTTACCACTGTGTTATTATGACAATTGAATAATCAACATGGCTCTTGATTATTGATTGTCCCAGAATAATGGGTTTTTTGCTTCTTTTCCCTTGCTTTAGTTTATCCCACTTATATCAAAGAACTGCAAGGACAGTTACTGATATGGTCCGATTCGTGTAGGGGCGGTGGAGGTTCCGTCTATGTGGGGGCGGTTCGGTGTTGTGTAAGGACGGTGGGGAGACAGAAGAGAAGAGCGGGGAGGTTATTGAGGGCAAATATGGTACTTTACAGAGTGATTAGATGATGTTTAGGGGTAATTTCGTAATTATACACGTTTTCTGGCATGATCATTAACGGAAAGGAGGTTTTTGTCAAATTTTTTAGAAATAGCGGAAAGGTTTTTACTAAAATGAAATTATAAGAAAAGTTTTTATGATTGTCAGAAAGGATTTTGTATCTTACCCTTTTTTTTATTTCAAAAACACTACATTGAACCATTAGAAGTGCAATTCATTAGGATCGCATGCGACCACGGTCGCAGCATATGTTTTTCTCATAGCAGTAGTGACAGTGGCAGACACGCAAGTAGACAGATTAATGCTTGCTTTGCTTTCTACTTTTACTCCTTTTTGGCAAGATGTGACCATTATCTTGATCGGCTGTAATAATTGAAAATTTCAACAAATATTCTATGCCCAGTATACGAATGTATCCATATCTGATATCCCATCACTGTATGATGTGAGTGATTCTACTCTGCAGTACGTCTCTGTAGCTGTTAACTTTCACAGTGGCACTAGTAATTGGCAAGTTTTATGATTTACATTGATGATCACTCAAGAATAATATCACTGCATTGGACCCAGCCATCGGTGCAATTATCCAGCAATTTTAGAACATTTAAGCTTTGTTTGGAATGAGTATAAATACAAATATGTACGGTATAGATGTATATAAGATAATATAAAATATAAAGTTTTGCATTCTATATATTTATATTTGTATTCCTTCCAAACTGAGCCTGGAATATAAATACAAATATGGAGAGTGCAAAAATATATATATTTTTTAATTATTTTATACGTATTTATACTGTACTGTATTCCTTTCAAAACTTAGCCTTAATTTCTGTTGTTATAGGAGCACGCATCCAAAAATCAAACCCATGAGACAACAAAGTGTTGACACAATGTGGTCTCAAGTCACAAAGCATATATAGACCATGCATAATAAAGTAGAAGAAGAAAAAAAAAGAGCTCAACAAATGGAACAAAAATGCCACAGAGATAGATAACTAGGCCAAAGGCAAAGGGAGACAGACCCCTTTATCCATGACATGACTCCATGTCTTAATATGTTATGGTTGATTGTGTTTCAATCTTTTCCTTGGGAGAATGACTGTTCATCCCACTACTGTACAGGTAAGATGAATCTCGTCGAAAGATCGATGCCAAATTCACGGACAAGATTACGGTTTATAAGAGGGGACCACTAGTAGATCGGACTATAGGGCTGTAATTTCAGATTTCTATGGAGTGCAGTGTACTTCACCACTTTTCCTTTCGCATGAGAAACAAAAATCATGAATTCCGTATGTCAAAGAAGATTACACGCTACATCAAGATTCAAGAGTGTAACTATCAACGTGAAAGAGGAGACACGAAAAAATGTAAAGAAGCACAACAAGAATGAGTTGTGAGGCAGCGCAATTCTTTGATCCGACCCGTCAACAGTCAACACAACGCCACGTACGGATGCATGGCTCCAACCAAAAGCAAATATTATGGATCTTAGGGGGACTAATAAAGTCTCACTCTCGGCAAGACGTCATTTCATCCAAAGGCCATGAATGATGAATCACAACTCACAGCCCAACTTCCATACCAAAAGCCTGAACTAATATAATTAAAGCCAGTGAATCACAGCCCTTGATATGGCCCATCTTAAAATTGGATGGAGTGACCTGAAGGTGGGCCTGTCCAAAAGCCATGATTTCAGGCTTTAGCCCAAGGCTACGCCATCAGGGGTAGCGAATTTCATCTCCAACTTCCATATATAGGCAATGCTTATAGCGATACAATATTGTGTTAGTAGTTCAGCTGGACCCATCTACTGATCACACTCTCTCAGGCAATTTACCAGATACATTTGCAAGCGTTGCAATAAGAATAAAGTTAAATCCAATATACTTAACATCATGCACCATCCATCTTCCCTGAAGAAACGTTCTGAGGTTATATAAAGCTGGTACTGCACAGACTTCAAACGTGTGTTCTACACTATTTGTTGTTGAAGTAGCTAGCACGAATAAAGCAATTAACTGTAGGTAATAGACACGTTAAAAGTAAAGGAAATCATCCATGGGCACGACGAATGGGCGCTTTTCAATGGCCAACAAGCATGAATGAAGCTTCTGCTGCTGCTTGAGAGTTGAGACTCAAGGTTTGATATGAGTAAGTGGGTCTGCTCTGCTCGCAAAAGGAGGAGCACCGATTCATGAAAGCTGGGTTTGTTGGCCAACACCGTGCATGTGTGAACTCTGAAGACTTCACAGTAGGAAGAGAGATGAGAATTGAAGGATTAGTCCCTGCTGTCTGTCATTGGCATTCCCATCATCAACACCTTAATTTCCTTCTTTATTGCTCTTTTGAATTTTGATTTGATTCGAGGGACACTGAGAGAGACTGAGGGCCGGAGTATGGAGTGGGAGAGGAGCAATGATTTTGTTTTGTCAGACTGGAATCCCCTCAACACCACCCCCACGGCCCACCTTTGTATGAATGGAGCGTGGAATGTATATCAGATCTTCACCCTTTCTCGGTGAAATCCACTGAACTCCAATATTCCGTCCTGCACTGCCATGGATCCTCCACTCAACTCTGAAAACTGAAAAGCTTAACACCTCGCACGAGGGTTGTTGACTTGTTGCTCATCAAACCGTGACGGACCGGCCCTTCGGCCTGGGAGTGGGAGGCTGAACTGAAAATAAGCTTTTTTTTTAGTTTGGTTCCACGCTAACGCTAGCGCTAGGCCAAAGAAAAGTAAAATTTTCTAGTTGGGCTTGGTTCCCTCTTTCAGCCCATCAGCCTCCAGCAGTCCATTGATCAATGTGTGTGGCTGTTAAAAAAGCAACGCCCAACGGCCCAAGGATACAAGTCTATTTTATTGTAACTAGTAGGAGTTCACTTGTGCTACGTAGCGTTTGGGCTAAAACCTAGAATCAAAGCCTTTGACGTATTGTATTTGTTTGGGTTCATCTAATTCAAGGTGGGGCCGTAGCAATACATCGAAGTCCTTGATTTCGTTGTTTCAGCGCAGCTCATTCTTTCTTGACTAGAAGAGTAGATGTATTTAGTTTTAAAAGCAATTATTGAGATTAAAGACAAACAATGTCTCAGAGAAGAAATATTCCCTCTGTTTTCTTGTTCCGAGGAAGCATAAAATAGTTGGTTATTCTGGTTACTAGGAACAGACAAGCAGAAAAACATATTTCTCACAATAAAGAGGTAAATTTCAAGATGATAAGGGTAAGGGTATTTTAGTTAAAAAGAAAATCTAAAAACTGAAAGTATACTCCCACTTTGTAAGTGGTTTACATTACATAAAGACAACTTGGTTGGGGGGCAGACCGTCACTCCCAATTCTTAAACGACGGGTGGTTTATATGATTAAGGACCTACTCCCAAACAGGCTCTAAATCAGCATGGAATGCCATTTGAGCGCATATGGAGAAAGAGCTTCCGAGACATGCCTCAACTGTCTTTCTGGCTCAGGCAGTGAATAGAGAGTTACTAATAGGCTACGCTACGATTTAAATTCAGACTGCCAAAAGAGAAGTGCGCAAGAAATTTTTCACACAAGTTTTCTTTAATTAAGAACTCTGTAGTCTGTACCCCTGGGAATCGCCTAAAACTGTGATAATTACGTCTCCCTTTCATCTCTGCCTGCTGTTTAGAGGGCTCTAGAGGTTCGTCGGAGAAAACACTAATTCAATTCTTTAGCCCTTGAATGTGTATGCACATTTGCACACCTAGAAGAGTTGATTCAATTGTTTCCGTGGCAAATTCACATACATGCTTTTTTTTCCTGTTCCAAATCATTTATGAAGTTGGTCCTCACATCAATTATTTCAGCTTATTGATACATAGACATATACCTTGAAAATAACAACCTATGTGTATGCAGTAGCTGAGCAGCTAACAAAAGAAATGTGGTAACATCTTATTCTTACAGCTTGGACCGAACTTTCTGTATAAGCTCTCTCCGAAGAATCTTCCCTGAAGCTGATTTTGGAACACTATTTGTGAATGTTACCCTCCTCAATCTTTTGAAGGGTGCAACCTGTAGCGGAAGAAATATTTGAATAAGCATTCATGCCAACAAGTACCTACATCCTAGTTTATCAGAATAAGCATCCTGCGGTGCGCCATTTTGCACACAACTTCGGAAGAAAGTGGGGAGGCATATAGACACAATCCTCAAAGGTTAAAAGCTTCCATCCAACATGAGAAGGGAAAAGTGGGAAACAGTTATGCGAAGCAAAAGCTCATTCTTCTTGACTAGAAGAGTAGATGTATTTAGTGTTTTCTAAAGCAACCATCATGATAGCAATTACATATTAAAACAATGTCTCAGAGAAGCATTCCCTCTGTTTCCTGTTCCCAGGAAGCACAAAACAGTTGGTTTTCCAGTCCCTATGAACAGAAAAGCAGAGAGACATATTTGTAAAACTTTACCAAACGCAGCCTAAAATACCAAATAATTAGAGCGTGGATCTAAAGTTGAGCAATGACATTCTAATCCTTCCTAGACAGAACTTTCCATCTGCTTCCAGAAGAGTATATCTGAAAGGAACTATATAAAAGGTAAAAACATCCTTGCTTATTTAATCAATAGGTTGCATATCAAACCCCGATAAGGACTTGAACCCATAATTTAGTTGGTCTGTCATGTTCCAAACTGAAGAATGATATTATGTCTTCAAGTCCGATATAGAACCAAACAAAAAATGGAGGAAAACACTCCACATCTATCAGAAGGGGAAAAAATTATGTATTTTCATATAAATATAATGCCATCAAATAGCAGAAATGAACTCATCTAATGAAAAGCCATTGCCCAAAGAAACGTAGGTTTTTCCATATTGCACCAACTTAACAATTCAAACCATTCATTCATCCCTAGCCAAGGTTCAAAGTATCGACACGATATGCCTGACACGGGGCATATTGTATTGTATCTTTGAGCCCCAATACACCTGTTTACAGGTGTTTTTACAAAACCCTTTATTTGAAAACAAAAAAAAAACTAAAAAAAAAAACGTGTATTGGTTAAAGTACAGATACAGAGGTGTATCAGTTGAATATTACAGTTCTATAAATGCATCGACAGAAACATAGGAGTCAAAGATAAGTATTTCCTTACCTGCTTGGCAATAAATTTTTGAACATCTTCTTCGGTCAGTGAACTGTTGGGAGTGCGGACAACATAAGCAATTGGGACCTCACCAGCTTCAGCATCAGGAAGTCTAAAAATGAAATAAAATAAGCACAACTAACAATATGAGTAATAATATACATATTCCTTCTAGAGTATTCTGCTAATTATAATGAGAGATAGATTGCACAAATCAATATATCCAAACTTACGGGATGACAACAGCATCTAATATTTCAGGATGAGAAAGAAGAAGTCCTTCAAGCTCTGCCGGTGCAACCTAACAAAGGACCAAGGAGATAAGTAAACACTTTTTGTAGCACAATTTTTATTATACGTAGAAGATACATATAAGATTAGAATCAGAAACAAGTTTCTAGCACTACTCAAACCCAGTAGTGCGTCCACTCTCCGCATCATCTAAACCATCCAAAGGCCACAGCAAATCAGCAGGAGAAAGGGCATATTATGGTTATTGATTCTCTCTCATATTCTAGATCTGCAGACAAAGATCAAATGTAGGCAGTGTTGCATGGACTCTTCTAAATGTATGGCTTTTTTGCATCAGACACACATCAAATTACGACACTCCATAGATTCTTGAGGGACACTTCTGCACAACATTTTTTTTATAGGAAACGATAACTTTCACTTCTGCACAACATTGAACAGATAATGTACAACATGAATGACATTTTTCATATTAAATAGTAGAAGATCAAGACTGCAATCAGTCTTGAACCCTAATAGATTTTAGGTTAAGAAAAGCAGAAGAAAAGTGAGAGGAAGGAGAAGGAAGAGAAGAGAAACAGGAGAACACAAGGGTTTGAAAGGAGGGACAGATTCTAACACATCTGCCGCCGCCACTCTCTTAGTATTTATAGGTTATGTTCAATACATAGAGAAAAGGACAGATCTGCCCATAGTACTTACATGACAAATAAAGTAAATAAAAACTGAAATAAATAACAACCGAAATAACAAACTGACCCCAACTGACACTACTATGACTGAAACAAATAATTACACATGTTGTCCTACGAACACAGTGGGGACCACTGCTGTGGGGCCCACATCAGTGTTCTCTACACTCCCCCTCAARTTGGGAGTAGATATTTATCATTCCCAACTTGGATAGGTCTGCCTCTAACTTCTTCCTTGGTACAGCCCTGGTGAGGATATCCGCAAGCTGCATGTTAGATGTGATATACGGGAGACACACTTCTTGTGATGTGACCCTCTCTCGCACAAAATGTCGATCAACTTCGATATGTTTAGTTTAGTCATGCTGCACTGGGTTGTGGGCTATATTAATAGCTGCCTGATTATCACAATACAGCATCAAGGGCTTTTCATAGTCAATACCCAACTCTTCAAGTAGTGATCTCAGCCATAAGATTTCAGCCACTCCGTTAGCCATTGACCTGTATTCCGCTTCAGCACTAGAGCGGGAAACAACACCCTACTTCTTACTCCTCCAAGAGACAAGGTTACCTCCCACAAGGGCACAATATCCAGAGGTAGACCTCCTGTCATCAACACTCCCAGCCCAATCGGCATCTGTATAGACCTCCACCTTCATGTGATTATTGTTCTTGAGCAATATACCTCTACCCGGGCATCTCTTCAAGTATGTTAATATTCTCTCTGCCGCAAGGAGATGAGAAATTCTAGGGGAATGCATGTACTGGCTGACAACACTAACTGCATAACTGATATCTGGCCGAGTGAGGCAGAGATATAGAAGCTTTCCAATCAACCGTTGGAACATAACTTTGTCTTCAAGAGGCTCCCCACCCTCTGCACTAATCTTGTGATTCTGTTAAATGGGTGTATCAGCAAACTTAACACCTAACTTTCCAGTTTCCGCCAACAGATCTAGAACATATTTTCTCTGAGAGATAAAAATCCCCTGTTTAGATCTAGCAACCTCAATACCCAAAAAATACCGTAGTGCACCAAGATCTTTCACCTCAAACTCTTGATGAAGAGCTGTTTAAGGGCCTCAATCTCATGGCTAT